CAAATTAGATAAATTAGATATACTTTCATAGTTTCTAGATTGAGATTTATTGGTGTTTTTTGTCTATTTAGGTTTTTGATATGCTTTGTGGGACCTTTTGATCTTAAATATTTAAGTAATAAAATGAAATGATGCAGGGAAAAATTATTGAACACATGAAGAAAGGGAGGAGTAGAAAGGCAGTGAAAGCCCAGACAGCAGCTGAAATCTCTCAGTAGTTATTTAACAATCCTCAGCCCTTCGTCATTGTGGGAAGGGTGGACATTTCAGTAGGACAATGATCCAAAACACAGTCAAGTAAAGTCTTAAATGCTTTCAGAGAAAGAAAATCAAGCTGTAGAATGGCCCAGCCAATCACCTGACTTGAATCCAACAGAGAATCCAACATTTTGTCAGTTCAAATCCAAATTCAGTTCAATTTCACATCAACATCTTCTTTAGAAATATTATACCCAGGAAAAAACATGGCATGCTCAATACTTATTTTCCCCACTGTTTATATCTCTTAAATAATAAAAAATATAGTATAGTAACACTTTAGTTTAAGTACCAATTCTCATTATCAACTAGTGACATTTTATCTGCCCATTATTAAGATGTTAGTTGTTTATTTGTACTTCTAAAGTACATATATCGATCTTATTCTACATCCCTAATTCTTCACAATTCGCAAAACAATCTACTATCTTAATAACTATCAGTAAGAAACAAAATAAGAGTTTATTGAGCTACAAGTCATAATTATTGCTTTGTTATTACAGAAAACTCTACCTTAAGATTTTAAAAAGTGTGAAGCTATTTGCAGCTACATTATCATTTTTTGTGCCATAGTTTACTTGACCGTATCTTTTTAAACTACAGATAATGTCAGTTAAAGTCAATCGGAGTCGCTCATATATATTGAGGACCAGGAGTGCCCGAAATAAAATGAAGAATCAAATTATCAATATAATAGATGAACCAATAAATTTCGGTGCTTTCCTTTGTTATTTGTTTCATTATTATTTAATATTACTCATCAGACAGTGAGAGGATGTGCGTACCTGGTACCGGGTACTTGACATCATTTACTTCCGCATTCTTCAAATTTTAAAGGTCCGTAATGACTCAATACCCACATAAGTGGTTCTGTTCTCTTATCAGTTGGAATAGAAAAACTTTTGCATAGAAAATGATAGAGACCTTTTTCTTTTTTCCTATGATTACTGACTTATGCAGGAACTACTAAAATTAATCACAGCAACCTACACCACACACAACCTAAAAGGTACACTTTCAAATTTGAGTTTACAAAAAAAGTGCCTCTTTTTGTAGGGGTTTATTATAACACAGACAACATATACAATTATTTTAATCACTTTCAACAGTGTTTTCTGAAAATCCAAAGAATTTTCCTTAAAATGATACCAAACCTTGGCTTTTACATCTCTGCATGTGGATTTGGGAAGCTTTTTAATTTGGGTAGGCAAAATCCAGGAGGAAAATAGCACTTGAATTTAAAAGATTAATAGTAATAATAATAATAATAACGTTGGCTAGAATGACCGGGTGCTTTTAACTTAGCTGGCCTGACCGCAGTAACGTCCCTCCTCAACTGTAAAACTTTTCTATACAGACAGTGATAATCCATATGAGAATTTCTTTAACGGAAATTAGCTAAAACTAATAAATCATCCACAAACCGTCTCCAAACATGTTTATATTGCTCCCAGTTGTAGACTGTCCAAAAGCATTTTTAACTCAATTTTGTTTCAACTCGAGAAAAGCATGTAGCAAAAGAAAAGAAAGTGGCAAATAGAGAGAGAGAAAAGCATTTGTCAAATGCCTTTTTTAAAAGGTTTTGAACTCTGCCCCCCACTGACTCTTTTGTCCCCTCCAAGTGTGCCGCAAGCCTGCGTTTGAGTGAAGGTCTCGGCCGTTAGATCGCCCCCTGGGGGCTGGCTGCAGTACAAGTCATAAAGCCCGCCTCCTCCGTGTTAATGAAGGAGACTTGAGCCCAAATAAAAAAATTAATTACACTTGCAATAAAATGTCCCGAAAGATGGTTCTGGTCGATTAAGGCACTGATTATTGTGCTGAGATAGGTACAGATCCTCATTTTTGTAAACAGTTTGTTTTTAGCAGTAATTTAATGCTGGGCGTGTCATCGTGATTGACAGCGGTGATTGACAGTTTCTCAAAGCGCGGCGTCTGAGCTTCGGCAGAAGACAGAAGTGTTATTACTCGATTTCTGTGATATTTTACTATGACAAAATGAGTTGAGCAGTAAACTACAGTTTCTGACATACATGATCTGGTGGAACACTGTTTATTCGCTGAGGTCAGAGCTTTTTTCGGGCATTATTAGTTTGCTAATACACGCCTAGCCACCCAGATAGCAAAATACACTGGGGCCAGTTCTTGCCTGCTGGAGACTTACACCTCAGACTGACTACCTCTGCTGGACCTACTCCGGATGCCTGGACTCACTGCCCAATTCCAGCCTGAGTCAATTGAGCCAGATATGGCGGCCGAGCGAGCAGGCGCTGCCGCATGCGAGCCGGAATCAGCCCGCGACGCCGCGAGTAGGTTATGTGCGCTGCTGCCCGGAGCTGGCGCGATTGAATCTTCATTATATAAAACCCTCACATTTGTTAACGTTATTACAACCATTTTTGTTGATATAACAACAAACGCATGCTACTATGTGAACGCAAAGTGTATCACTGAGTTTAACCTTTAAATAAAGATGCAAACAGCATACATAATTATTTAAATAAAGGACAAAATAAATAACAATAAACCTGTATCGATTGCACAAGTATTAAATAATAATACAATTGAATACATTTTGTAGTGCACAAGAATTAAGAAATACGAAAATGACAATAAAACTGCACAATAAAATAAACCCATTTAAGTACGGGGAAAATACAGAAGATCGTTAGCAGTAATTCTCTTTATGTGTCTAAAATAATAATCTTTATGTGTCTAAAATAATAATCTCCTGTAAGGTTATTTGAACTTGCTTTATAGGACGTCTCTGCATTTTAAGTTTTGGCATGTTATTAAGTAATCTACTGAATTTGCTGTTATAAATCATTATAAGGTTCTTGAAATCGAATCTTATATAACCTAATAGAGCTGTAAATGTTAGATATTATTTATATACATCATTTACTGTTGGCGTTTTATTTGAACACTCCAGCTAACATTAAAATGAATGTAAATTCCTCGTTGCCAGATATAATGAAGGCATCGAATAAACCAAATGAAAACGGAGGCAAAAAAATTAAATAAATAAACAATTCAAGCGAAAATGAATAAACAATACTAGTGATGTTGCAGCAGATAGACGTTGTATTAATAGTGCAAAGTTTTTTTGCACAAATTGACAAATTGCAGGGTTGGGATGTGTAAATATCCTGTTGATATTTAGTAATCTTGCTGTATTCATCTTCTAAACGCACGATTGTTCCCGCATGGTAAATCGTTATGGTGGCTATATTTTGGGTTCTGTTGATGGCTAATTAAAAATAAAAACCTTTCTAAAAATGTATGTGTTGTTTATATGTTATTGTTCATATTTTACAAGTGTTATTTCTACCCCTATGAAGATAAATACCAACAACAAATATAGCAATAAGAGAATATATTATTTGTGCTGATATTCAGGCTAGAGTGTATAAAAGATCGTTTATTTCTGCAGTCCACCATGTATTGCTTTAATTAAAGTTTAACAGCTTACATCACACCGTTTTTAAACCCTATTGTGTTTTTTTCAATGTAAGTGCTTCTATTTACATCAGTGAGCGTTTGTTATAGTGCAGACACCGGCAGTCGAGTGAGAAGTTTGGGGGGCGTGGTTGATTTTACATAAAGCGTTTGGTTGGAAGCTCGACTCCGCTCATTTTCGCGGCTCCTCCTCTGGCTCCATCAGACAGTCCTTCTGCGCATGTCAAGGCTCCAATTTCAGCAGTCTTTTGCGACAGTTTGTGCCCGTCAAGCAGGCGTTTTGCCCTCAAGGCGTTCAATGGGAAAAGGGGCTGTCGCGTCGTCCATATTTTTTACAGTCATTGGTCCCCTCATACACCCCCACACTCTCCTCATAATGTATACTCCCCATAATCACTGCACTATTCAATATTTGCACATTTACAAATTGCACATATTCATTGCACTGATTCATTCAATTCATTTTGAATTGTACATACCCACTGTACATAACATTTGTACTTATGTTATATCTACTTGCACACTTAATCTATTAAGTTAATCTATTAATCTATTAATCTATTCTTAATCTCTGTTCATAGCTAATACCTGTATATAATGTTCATAGTACATCCATCTGTAAATATCCCCATAGTTTTTCTATAGTTGCACTTTATAACTTATACCCATATCCTGCACTTGCGTCTTTTTTGATTCTGGTTAGAGCTAAACTGCATTTCGTTGTCTTGTACTTGTACATGTGTAATGACATGTAAAGTTGAATCTAATCATTTAATCTAATATTTAAACTGTGCATTTAAATGCATTTAAAATCATCTAGAAATTACTTTTTTATTGTTTGATTAATCAGAGTTTTAAAACATTAATTAAATAAACATTTATAAAATTGTCTATTTATTTATACATTTAAAGCTATTAATAAATGCATTGTTTTATTGCTTTATTAAATTACATATAAAAGCACAGTTTATATAAACACATTCAAATATGTCTATTTATTTGTCCATAATTTGTTCACTTAAATTGGGATTTATTTATATACATTTTTATGCTTCAATTATTAAACTAATAATTTGATTCTTGATTTTATTTCTAACTGGCTCTCCTAGTCCTCCATACCTAATGCAAAACAAAATAAATGAAAAACCATGCCACAGGTGACCAATAATTCTATTTTTACAGCATACTCAAGACATGAAATATGAATACAGTGAATATAATACAGGGCCAACTATTTCTAGCATACTTGTAGAGAGTGGGTTTTAATCATAGCTGTCAACACTTACCCTGTAAAGGGAGAATCTGGCCGGTCTGGACCATAATGCTGAGCTGCAGGACGAGCTGAGGTGCGCTCTTCAGGAAGGTCTCCAGCAGCCTCAGCATGCTGATATCAGCGTTCTCAAACATTGTGCGCCAGTAGTAGTGTTTGTGCTCGTGCTCCCCACGCCAGCGGCTCTGCACACCCAGATATAAGGCATGGACATACCTGAGATTCAGAAAGAAAACATGGTATGGGCCCTTAAATCATTTCCACAAATATCACTAAAGCTCACTTCATAATGCTTGTTGTTTTAAAATGCTTTCCTTTCATTTAGTATGGTTTATGCATATAAATTCAATGTATAATTTTCAAGTCCATGTCAAACCATAAAAAAATAAAAATTGGATATTTACTTTTTAAAGGTAAGTGGTTGCAAACAATTTATATAGGCTGAATTTAAACCAATTAAATGTAGCAATGCTCAACTAAATTTGTTTGTTTAAATTCAGCCCATATAAAGTGTTTGCAACCACTTACCTTATAAAAGAGTAAATCCAATGACTCATTTTTCTCAGTTAGGGGGGAGTTTAATGGAAAACACATAAATTTGTTGTCCTGCAATTTTTTCTGTCTTTGCAGCAATTACATCTGCATGTCCACTATTTGCATGAGACTTGCCTATTGGCTTCTTTGGCTTGTCCTCAAGACACAGCTTGTAAATTAATTTTGAGAGTTTTAACAATGAGATGCTGTTTTTTAATTCTGCAAATGCCTAAACTGAATGGACTTCCAATGCATGTCATGATTTTGCCAAGTACGATGGGATCCTGAATTAACATCTATGGTGATCCTGGCATATTATCTTTGTTCGAAAATGTAATCCATACCTATTCCCTACCCCTAAACCCAACCATAACTGTAGATTATTCCCAAAATCGGAGGGGAATAATAGTTGGGTAACAATCATGTAGAAGTGCATAAACCGAAACATAAGCCATAAGCCCTAACATAAATGCTAAACATATCTCTTATTTCTGATTGGCTGATTGGAATGTTTTCCTAGTACTGGGTTGTGGCTGGAAGGGCATCCGCTGCGTAAAACATATGCCAGAATAGCCTCTGATAAATAAGGGACTAAGCTGAATGAAAAAGAATGAATGAATGAACGAACAAAAAAATAAATGAACGAACGAACAAATAAATGAATGAACAAACGAACTAACGAATGAAGGAATGAAAGAAAGAAAGAAAGAAAGAAAGAAAGAAAGAATGAATGAATGAATGAATGAATGACCACAGCCGGTTACTCTCTGAAGCTAAGGAGGCTGAGCCTGGTCTGTACCTGGATAGGAGACCACATGAGAAAACTAGGTTGCTGTTCGTAATGGTGGTAGAGAGGTCAGCAGAGGGTGCTTAACCAGTACTAATGCCCCAGTAAAAATGTAGGAGACTCTATACTGTCAGTGGGTACCATCTTTCGGAAGAGACGTTAAACTGAGGTCCTGATTCTCTGTGTTCATTAAAAATCCCATAGCACTTCTCATAAAGAGTAGGGGTCTAACCCCTGGCAAAATTCCCTCCATTGGCCCCTACTCATCATGGCCTCCTAATCATTCCTATCACCGAATTGGCTCTATCACTGTCTCTTCACTCCACCTATAGCTGGTGTGAGGTGAGAGCACTGGCGCCATTGTCCTGTGGCTGCTGTAGCATCATTCAAGTGGATGCTGCACACTGGTGGTGGTGTGGAGGGACCCCCCTCATGATTGTGAAACGCTTTGGGCATATGGCTATACACAATAAATGTGCAACATAAATACACACATTACATTACATTAAAATGAAATGTCAAATTTAGGACCAGTTCCAAAAAAACTGGCCCTGCTGAGTGTAACAATCACCAGTGATCTAGGAACTGCATATTAATAATATCAAACTACTATTCCCAGCATGCACTGTGCACACACTGGTTCCCGATCTCATACTGATAGCACACACACCACTGGTGTCGCATCATGGACTGATTCCTGAACTATGTATGCATCCAACACACACACACATATTGCTTAGTCTTGATCTTTGGTTAGGAACTGTTACAGTACATTGTGTTTCGTATGTCTTGGTTCTCATGTTTGTTTCCAGCCTTGTTTATGTTTAGTTTTCTTGCCGTGTTTGTTATGACCTTTGCCTGTACCCTGACTACAATTACTGGATCCTCCTCATGCTACGGTTGATGACCTTTTGCCTATACGACGACCCATAACAAACTGATTGTGGATCAACACTCTGTCTCCGCTTCCTGGCTAACATTGAGCAATCAGGGCAGGTTTGATTTTTTTAAAAATGTTTAAAGAAACAGAAACTAAAACAAAGCAGAAAATATCTATTTATTTATTTTGTACTGTATTCTCATGTAACTGAATTCTAAGCAGACATAAAATAAATATGTAAAATAATGTAGACTAGGGTTGTACAAAATATTTTAATAGTGATAACTGTGCTGTTGTTTGTATGTGTGTGTATGTATACCAGTTAATAATATAAGAATATAAACAAGGTATTTTACAGCTATTTACATAATCAACCATCCAATGAGCATGCCAGTGTCTCTTCATATCACAACATTCATTCATTAATTCATTCATTTTCCTTTGGCTTAGATTCTTATTTATCAGGGGTCGCCACAACGGAATGAACCACCAACTATTCTAGCATATGTTTTACATAGCAGATGCCCTTCCACCCGCAACCCAGTACTGGAAAACACCCATACACTCTCGCATTCACACTCATATATACAGCCAATTTTAGTTAAGCCAATTCACCTATATATAGCGCATGTCTTTGGACTGTGAGAGAAACCAAAGCACCCGGAAGAAACCCATGCCAACACAAACTCCATCAAGAGGTGCCAACTGGTCCAACTGGAACTTGAACCAGCAACTTTCTTGCTGTGAAGCGACAGTGATAACCACTAAGCCACCATGCTGCCATACTTCATATCACAACAGAAAAAGTACATATTGCATATCCCCCCGATATCACACAGCTCATGTGCACTTTTAGCCAAACAGTTTCAAGGAGCCACCTGGAAATTCGATAGTTAACCTCGATGGCACTCTGCAGCTTTGGAAAAGACCTGGAGTCTGCTTAATGTGACTGCAAGCAGCTGAAAAAGACAGTACACTCGTCTGGGCAGCATGCCAGTGCACTATCGAGGGCTCCAGCATGTCATGTTCTGTCCTCCACAGGCTGCTGCAGATGTCTAGTGAGACGCACCAAGGTTACACTTGAGATTACACTGATGTCAGAGAGCATGTTTCCACAGGAGGGATCACTGTCTCTTACTTTCGCTACTTTAAATGTCCTGATTTACGACCCTAAGACTGCGCTGTTTATCCAGTGAGATGGACGTGAGTGCCAGAGGAAATGCTTTTTGACGGTTTTCCAGGGTGGCTTTTGGAAGATATGAAGCTTCATGCGTTCAAAACATATTTACGTGACTTTCACTGGACTTAAATTTGTTTCTTCTGACAGGAAGTGCCATGATATTTCAGTCCTTCTCAAGGGTAGCAGGAGTAATAGGAGCGCGCACTGGATGTCAGGAGATTGGCAGAATGAATCACCTCGACTTGATGAGGTCTATAAAATTGCTCCACATCCTTGCTGTGTAAAAAAAAAAATCAGCCTCTGAAAGAAAAATCAAGCAATAGAGAGCCTGTCAGCGAATGTGCCTCAAATTTGACAAGTGACACAGAGAGTCATTCTTTCCTCAAATAAAAGGGTGCGTTTTCAATGAGACAGAAAAGCTCTCTTTTTTTTTGCTTGCAAAATTCAGACCTCGGGGCACACAATTGCAAGCAGACAAAATCAAACCTTGAACCTTAACCATGCAATCTTTTTTCTTCTTCAAGAAAACACGAACAATTAAGCTGAAGAAAACATCTCACAAACAGACAGGATTGGCAGGCAATGCATCAGTGTCCATGGTGACGACTGGCAAACATTGTAGCTCACAAGCCTGGTCCATTACTTAGCTCCACATAAACCAATTGAAGACAATCATCTGCTAGGAAAAACTCAACATGGCTTCCTTCGAAAAGGATTTCTTTCTGTAAGAACAGACTTTCCCAACCAGTAATTTTGCTGTTCTACTACCATTAAAGAACACCTATTATAACCCCTTTTTACAAGATGTAAAATAAGCCTTTGGTGTCTCCAGAATGTGTTTGTAAAGTTTCAGCTCAAAATGCCCATCAGATTATTTATTATAGCCTGCAGAATCTGCCCATTTTAGAGTTTGAGTATGCTGAAGCTGTTTTTGTAACCGTGGCTTTATTTCCAAATAAGCCCCCCGTTCCCACATGCGTGTCTGATACTCATCTTGCGTTAACTCAGATAAACAGCACAGTGACAGAGACAGACTCAGATGAAGCTGAAATACAGCCCATTAGTCAAAAATATCAAGTAAGTATATTTCATGTCTTTGTGGTGGAGTTTATTCAAGCCTTTTTGAAATGATGAGTCACAGGCAAATGCTATTTCAGTACACACACACATATATTAGCGTTTACTGGCACCATGCGGGCAGGGTGATTATAGAGGTTAAGAATTACAAAGTGATTTTAATGTGCTTATTAAAAACATGCACTGCTTTAAAAACAATTTAACTTATAAAACTTATAAAAATCACAGAGAGTTGTGAGAAATATTTTAATCCCAGTTTATTTACAAAAAAAAATGTGTGACGGTGTATACATGTTATTATACAAACACGATGCCTGTCAATCAATTCGGTGGGCAGGGAAAACTGCACTTCAACGTCACATTGCGGTGGGCCTCAAAATCACTGGGATTTGGGTCCTATTTTATCATTCATTCATTTACCTTTTGGCTTCCAGCTGCAACCCATCACTGGGAAACATCCATACACACTCATTCACACACATACTCTACACTACGGACAATTGAGTTTACCCTATTTATCTATAGCGCATGTCTTTGGAACTTGGGGGAAACCGGAGCACCCAGAGGAAAACAGGCACACGGGGAGAACATGTAAACTCCACACAGAAATGCCAACTGACCCAGCCAAGGCTTGAACTAGCGACTTTCTTGCTGTGAGGCAATTTTGCTACCCACTGCGCCCCTGATCTTTCTATTATATCTATTTGAACTTTTTTTATGCTAGTTTTTACAGACATAGAAAAACATAGACAGACAGA